CTGCTGCCAGGCTGCCTGCATGGGCTTCCTGCAGAGCCTGGTGCCTCGCTCCATGGCTGAAGGGCAGCAAACTAAAACTCCTTGAAAGAGTTTTATTTTACTACACCCCAAGTCATGCAAGGCGCATTACACTGTGAAATTTGCTACAGCAGCTGGAATTAATGCGCAATACACCGCCAACGTGTGCAAACACCAACACCGTTAAAGCAGTGCAAAAGCATTTAACCTCCTTTCATCCACACACAGCCACCTGTTAGGGTGGTGTTGCAGGTTACCTTTCAACCATTCTGAAGGCAGTTAAAATGGGAGCATCCACACCTTAAAGGGTGCTAAACTTCTAAGCGTCTTAAAGTTATGCCACTTCAGGCAAGGGTTACAGCTTGAGCTAGGGCATTGTTAGTCTGCTCCACAAAGATAAACTGACTGACTTGCAGCCCTCCAGCATCCCAGGATGCCCTGCTCCCAGAACCTCTACCCCTGACAAATGTTTCACCGTCTCAAGTCAACACCCTCACTTGCCCCCAGTAGGTAACCCTAGCCCATACAGCATCATGCTGCCAGCTCTAAGCACCCCAGGAAACTCCATCTGGGCACCTGGGCTGGGGGTGAAGGACACAGCCCCTGCACAGAGGGCTAAGCCTTTGCCCTACATCACGAACGCCGCATGCCTCTGGAGGTTGGGGGGGCACGGTGAACTCCTGTGGGTGGCAGTGGCACTGTTAGCAGCAGAAGTACGGCAGTGGTGAGCTGTGAGCTCCCGTAAGCGGCCGCAGTGCTGTCGGCAGCAGGAGAGGGGAGGGGGGTGGCGAGCACTGACCAGCGGTTGGCGACCACCCGCAGACGCCACTGGCAGTGTTGACAGCAGCCAGCAGTGATCGGGGACTATCCACAGATGGCACCGCTGGCAGTGTCAGAGGTGCTTTTTGCAAAGGGTGCACCACCAAGCTCAGGGGTGCACCTGCACCCGCGTGCACCTGCATGCACCCCCTACGTGTCGCTATCCAGGTGGTTCTCCCCTAGCCAGGAGAAACTGGGGGCTGGGGGCCACGGCTTGCCTCCGTAGTCTCCCGGGCTTCTGTGGGGGAAAGGAGGGAAAGGGATGCTGAGCATGGTGAGAGCATGGAGCCCAGGGAGACATGCCTCCCCACGGTCCATACAGCTAACCCCCAGCTGCTCAGCTCCCAGAAGGAGAGTCCTGGCTCGTGGCCATGCCCATGCTCCCCAGGCCCTCTCGTGGCAAATCATAGTTGCTTAGCCCAGAGACAGCATTAAGCCTTAATCCACGACTGCTCTAAAACCGTTCTAATTTTAACACTGTTAACACCCTGCAGATTAAAAATGGCTTACAGGTAACCTGTAGCCTCAGCCTAAAGTGCCTGTCTACCCCTGCCTACCGCCACATTTTCAAAAGCACCAAAACGATTCAAGAGTAAAATCCCTTTTTAAACCGCTGAAGGACCGCTCATCGATTGCCAGGAGATGTAGGTGTCTCAATACCGTTGAGGACTTGATGCTTTTGGACAATTTAAGTATAAGGCACTGAGGTCACAATTTCCAGTGTTATTCCATAGGACGCATGCTCTTCAATCCTATCGGGTGTCTTCAGCCTGATGTTGCCATTGCGGCGCTAACTACCGTCCTACCATTTCTTTTGCTGGCGTCCCCACATTCATTCCCAAGCCCCTTCAAGCTCTCTCCAGCCGGACGAGTGGTTTCTTTAAAATACACCGAAGCTAGCAAACTGAGACAAACATTTTTTTTTCCCGTTTCCATTATTTGTGATGAGAAACAATGATTCTGACCATCGAAACACCACAATCACCGAGCAACATTTCACAGACAGAAAACCATGGGGG